TCTGAGGCAACCACAGCCAAAGTGGTTCAAAACATCAAAGTTCATGCTCAGTAATCCAGATTTTAAAAAAATCCCACAAAGTTCAGTCAGGTCATCTGGACGGTTTCCATTTTTTTGTTGTTGAGACGTTTCATACTTAATCCAAAGGACTTCATCAATAGTCAACGGGGGAGAGAGCGGGCCCCAGAAACCATCATATCATCAAACTGTTTGGTCCGTCAACTATGGGAGTGTGCTGCCTGTGGGACTGAGTTTGTTTGTGGCTCCTTGGATTGATGAAGTCCTTTGGATGAAGGATGAAACGTCTCAACAACAACAACAACAACAAAAGAAACCGTCCAGATGACCTGACTGAACTTTGTTGGATGTTTTACCTGGATTATTGAGCAGGAACTTTGATATATGTTCTCATGTTTTCTCCGGGTACTCCAGTTTCCTCCCACAGTCCAAAATCCTGCCTGTCTGGCATCAGATCTGTGATCTCAGAGGGATTTGTAAATAAACAATAAATAACTGCTGGGTTTTAATCCCAAGTGAAGCTGCAAGTCTGAAGGGCTCTGAAGATACTGGTTTATTATAATGCACCACTGAAGACAAACGTTCAACCACACAGATGGTTTCCTGGAAACCAACACGCAATTTATTGTAAATCTGGTGACGTAAAATAAAAACTGATCAGCTCAGCTCTTTCTCGGCATGTGACATGCACGTGAGGACCAAGCAGGTCCACGTCAGCATTTTCTTGCTGGTAATAAAGAAGTTCAGAGTTCACAGATAATGGTCCGGGGGGGGGGGGGGGGACTGATAGTGAAGCAACGAGCTTCACCTGGATACAAGGCAGTAAAAAACTCAGTAGATAGGAGCGAGGAACAGAGAGTAACCATGAGTCATGCTGTAGGAGGAACTGACGAGGTCCAGTCTGAGCTCCGGTGTCTGATCCAGAACCAAACAATCCCCTCAGATCAAATGACTGGTTCTTTACAGGAACTGCTTTTTATCGTTGTATTTAATGGAGTAAAAGTAAACTTCATTTTGTGCATTCTTTACAGTTTTGTATGAGCAAAACCAACCAACTCTTAAAAGTATCCACTTTGTTTTCTAAGTTATAAACTCCAAATCCCATGAGTCCAGTGTGACAAAGACAGCAGTTCTAGGGAAGACTTTAATGGCGGACACTGAATCTGCTTCGAGCAGCAGTGTTTCCAAACTGCTGCTGCTTATCCTCCATCATCTGAACTTCTGGACTTCTTCACGTTATCACCCAGCAGCTCCTGATAATCACGTTAATAACAACTTATCACTTGTTCATTCTGGACGTTTTAAAGTATTAATAAAAAAAAACAGCATGTCAGGTGTTCTATTTCTGAGGGGACGTTCGTTGGTCTGCTGCTCACTGCAGATTTTCTGCTGACAGCTTTTGTTTTCTGGCAGGAGGTTAGCCACATCTGCATTCATGCAGTCATCACTCATATGACCACAGTGTGCTGGTCTGTCTCAATCTCCTGAATAAACAGAAGTTACATTTCAGCTCACAAGAAGCCGAAAAGATGCTTATCTTTGCTACTTTGCATGGAGAATGTTTTCTAGATCTGTCCTCCAAAGAAGTTGGTTTGAAGGTGGATGGAACGCAGAATGCAGGCTGGACCCAATACTGAAAATACTTGTTTATTAGTTAAATACTGTAGAACAAAGTATAAAGGCTAAACTGATGGACAATAGCTATCAATGTATCAATGTTTAGCACCCAGCTACATCTATACCAAATCTTAGCTCAATATCTGTAAAACTGACAGAGTTAGAGCCATTTTTGTGTTTCAAAGGCCAAACCTCTATTTCTCACCTCTCCCCTATCATAGACAAAAATAATAATAATAACAATAATAATGGGCAGCACGGTGGCGCAACTGGTAGAGCTGCTGCCTCTCAGCGAGCAGGTCCTTGGTTCAAACCCCGGTCCAGGGGCCTTTCTGGGTGGAGTTTGCATGTTCTCTCCGTGCATGCGTGGGTTTTCTCCGGGTACTCCGGTTTCCTCCCTCAGTCCAAAAACATGCATGTTAGGCTGATTGGTAACTCTAAATTGTCCCTAGGTGTGAGTGAGAGAGTGAATGTTTGTTTGTCTCGTTTGTCTCTATGTGGCCCTGTGATGGACTTGCGACCCGTCCAGGGTGTCCCCCGCCCCCCGCACAGTGATTGCTGGACATGGGCACAAGCGACCCCCGTGACTCAAAAATGGAATAAGCGGGTAAAGAAAATGGATGGATGGATGGACAATAATAATAAAAATAAATAATAAAAAAGTCAAATAACTCCATCCTCCTCTCGTCAGACTCCTCAGGTAACAGCTCCATCTACAACCTGTCCACGCCGACGTCCGATGAGTACTCCGACTTGTTTGAAGACAGTGAACCAAACATGGAACTGGGAGACGGGGTAGAGATGAGGCCCCTGGCCCCGGAGGGGCCCCTGAAAATGAATGGCTGGCTGATCTGTAAAGAACAGGACGAGATGCTGAACCTTGCTTTCACTGTGGGCTCCTTCCTGCTGTCTGCCATCACGCTGCCGCTGGGGATCGTCATGGACAAATATGGGCCTCGAAAGCTTCGGCTGCTGGGCAGGTGGGTCTGGACAGGAGGAGCGTTTGTCAGAGTTCTCAGAGCACAAACAGAAATATCATTTGACAGGAAACTATAAAAGATAATTGTTTGTTTTTGTGTTTTCAGCACATGCTTTGCGTTTTCCTGCCTTCTGATTGCGTACGGAGCCTACAAACCAAACGGTAAGTCTCTGCTCCAGGAGATTACAGGTGGTGAGAGCTGACAGCTAACAAGGGTCTCCTTCACAGAACTGTCTGTCCTCATCTTCATTGCCCTGACTTTCAATGGCTTCGGGGGCATGTGCATGACCTTCACCTCCCTCACAGTAAGTGTTTGCACCAGCTTCCTGCTGCAGGGCGTCCGTCCAGATGTGAAGTCCACGTGTTCACAGCACTTTGTCTCGGTGTTTGCTGGCTCCCTGCATGCTCACCCTCTTCCAACGCTCGCCTCTGGCATTCCATTCAGTGCTCCTTTTTTGTTGTTCTAACTCTAAACTCTGTGTTCCCCGTTTCTGCCTCAGATGGCAGGAAAGGAACAAAATTAAAAAGTCACAAAGAAACATCATAAAGGATTAGTTAATACTTTCTGCTTCATCTAAAAACATCACAGCAGGCAAACTCCTGCTGCAGGACACTTGCGCACAAAACTCACCTTCATTTTTATTGTATAAATAATCTCTGAGCTGACCAGCCCTAGACTTCACTTCAAGGCCACTTTATTAAAGTAATCCTTAACATCTAATCCACACCAAAGTTCTGCTAAAATCAAAGTACTCTTCATGACTGAGCAGCAGTTTCACAGCTTCATTTTACAGAAATTATTTTGCAAATTCCAATTGATTTGCCTCAATTATGAAATTAGGACCCAGTGGGATTAAAACTGGCATTTAGCACATCAAACTTGATCATTCTGGGTTAGTCAGAGTACAATGAATGTAAAAAATGTGTCACCAATCCAAAAATTGAGATGAATCAGCACAGACATACACTCGTGCACCAGCACATAAATATTGACGTTTCTATGAAAGCTCGCTTTACTTCAGCTGACTTCACACAACCTGCACCCACAACCCTAAATCTGCGCCTCTGATACAAAAACAAGAAAACACAGATTTCTTTATTGTTTCCAGAGATCTCAGGGTCACTGCTTTACCATTCATCTGCATTCTTTCTCTGCTGTTCTTCATGGTCCAGTCTCTTCCCTTTACCTTCAGTGAATCCTATGGTGACTGTGTGGAGCTCTACCATGGTGATGCTGTTTACTGGTGAGAGGCTCGTCTCCACTAAATCTTTACGTCTGCACCACCACAGGCTACAGGTCCACCTCCAGCCTAGTGCTTGTTGCACCCCATTAAATGTCTCTTTAACTGCAGCCTTTTCTGTAGGCTTCAGTTCCTCCAAGGCTCCATGAAACCGTGTTTACCCCTCGGCTCGTTACACCCCCTCAACAACCAGGAATCCTTGGTGCTGTGTTAATTATTAGCCACAAGCCTGAGTCCTGACTTGTTGTCCTCAGACCTTCAGGAGCTGTTTTTATGATGGCTGTTGGGTAACTTTGTCCTAATGTCCACCGTTTAATTCTGGTCTGTACATCAGCTGGAATGTTTAAAGCTCTACGCCAACATGCGCTTCAGTAAAATACTTCAACTGTAGCGTAAACTGGTTGTGAATGTCTTTTCAGTTTATTTCTAACTTAGCTTAGCTTGTCTTAGCTTGACTTGCCTGAATGAACTTCTTATTTATATAGCACCTTTCATAGATATACCACAAAATACTTAAAATAAACAACGGCAAAAGGTCAAGTCAAGGTTCTTTTTGTCATTCGCATCGCATGTGGTACATGTGATGGAACGAAATTGTGTGCACAGGGTCCCAGTTACATCCAATAAAAGTATAAATTATCAAATAAAAACAGTAATATGATATGAACTAAGAAAAACGTTAAACTAAGAATACGCTAAACACTTAGTGCAAAAACAGTAATATGCCAGAACAGTAAGAACATGCACCAAAATACATATAAACATCCATACATATAAAAGTATAGAAAAAAAGGGTAAAACACACTTATCTATATAAATGCATGCTTCTGACAGAATGTCTTCAGATGTTTTAAATGCATCAGTAGACTCTAGGGTGTATAAAGACGGGGGCAGTGCTTCCACAGTCGGGGAGCAACTGATTGAAATTACCAGTCCTGAGATTTGAAATAGGTGCTGGTACCACCTGAACCTAAGAGATGGTGCGTGGAGCTGAACCAGGTCAGAGAAACAAGAAGCAGCTTGTTCCTGCAAAGCTCTAAACATTAAAATTAGAACTCTGAAGTGAACTGGGAGCTAAAACAAGTTAGTTTATAGGAGTTGACAACCTTTATTTATACAGGTTAGTCTCGTTGAGCCTCATGGCCTCATTTACAAGAGAGACCTGTTTTAAACAAAGAACACAGAAGAGGTACAGACAATAAACAATAATGTAAAAAGCATATAAAATGAAACGCAAATAGAAGAAATTATATATATAAAAAAAAAATAACAGCTACATTATAAAGTGATGTAAAATACTAAAAACAGGAAGATGTCTGCATTGGTTTTTGCCTTGAACTTAACAGTTGTTTAAAATCCCTTAGAGAGGTCAAGGTCAAGAGCTTCAGATCTTTTTGCAAGGTGTTCCAGGATACAGGAGCAGAGTAGGAGAAGGCCCTTTTGCCAAATTCGGTTTGAACTGAGAGAACACTGCAAGTAATAATGTCCTGACAGCGCACGCTGTAGCTGCACTGACAAAGTGACATGTAGGAGGAGATGTATGAAGACAACAGACCACGAACAGCTTTAAAACAGACCTACAGCCGAGTTCTGGACAAACTGAAGATGGTTCAGCTCCTTCTGGTTTAAACATGAGAATCAGCTGTTCCAATGGTCCAAACGAGAAGAAATGAACGCATGAACAATCATCTCAAGTTCAGTTTTTGATGAAGCTTTTCAGTTTGGAGATGTTCCTGAGAGGGAAGAGTCAGTTTCTAGTCAGTTGTTTTAAAGACATCGCAAAATTTAACAGAACATGAAACATCAAAGTTCATGCTCAATAATCCAGGTTAAAAAAAATCCAACAAAGTTCAGTCTGGTCATCTGGACGGTTTCTTTTTTTCTTTTTTTTTTTGAGATGTTTCATCCTTCATCCAAAGGACTTCATCAGTCTGAGGAGCCACAGACAAACTCAGTCCCACAAGCAGCACACTTCCATAGTGGACCAACCAGTTTGCTGGTGGTAAGATGGTTTCTGATGCATGCCCTCTCCTCTGTCGACTCCTCTGAGGCAGCCATAGCCAAAGTGGTTCAAAACATCAAAGTTCATGCTCAATAATCCAGGTAAAAAAATCCAACAAAGTTCAGTCAGGTCATCTGGACTGTTTCTTTTTTTGTTGAGACGTTTCATTCTTCATCCAAAGGACTTCATCAGTCCTGAGAACCCGAGACACTTGTGAAACAGAACAACTCAGAGTATCTTTCCTTGTTGTGCGCAGCCAAACATTTGCTAACTTTAGCTCGCTTTTCTTCACATTGAAACAAAAACTGACAACAAAGAATGAACTCTTCTCCCTCTGAATGTTACATGTTCACTCCTTCACCTCGCTCACCCCCTCTGACTGTTTCAGCTGGGTTGTGTGTGGAACAGCTGTGTGTGTTACATGATGTTGTTTTACTGGTTCTGTGTCACATTTCATCCGGTTTCCTCTGATGTGGAGCCATGTTTGCTCGGCATTTGTTGCCCCTCTGACCCCAGCGTCAGAGGGCTTCATCGTCATGCCTCCCTCTTTCTTTCTTCTTTTATTAAAATAAGCACAGCAGTCTGAACTCTGATGCTGACTGCACTTTATTAAAACATGCTTTGTATATCAAACAATATTGCACTTTTAACTTTGTTCAAAACAGATCATTTGTGTTAACCTTTGACCTATTTTTTGTCGCACTGTGTAGCTCCCCAACATGTTTGGAGACCTCCGCTCAACCTTCATAGCCCTGATGATTGGCTCCTACGCCTCCTCTGCTGTCACCTTTCCTGGTGTAAAGGTAACAGTTGCACCTTCCAGATTCTACTTAAACTAATATGAAATCTGTCAAAACTAAGTGCATGATGTGGGACCATTCAGACGAGCAGCATGAGGAGGAGGAGGCAGGATGCTGGGCTGAACTGATTTAAATCAGATTCCATCTGTCATCTTTGAATTGTGCATCACATATTTTCTACCTATTCAAAAAAATATCTTGTTTAAATATATCATTAGATATATCATTCGATAATAATAACATTTAAGTCATGTGAAAGTTTATTGCTTTATTTCTTTAGAGACAGTCAAAATGAGCTGTTTTGATTGAATGTTTAATTTCTGGATAAGTAGAGGACAAAGAACGCACTCTGAAAAGTTATTTGAAATCTCCATTTGTAAAATAAAAGTAGAGCAGTGAAAAGTACATCAAACTAGAATAATACCAAGTAAAAGTTTAAAGGCGCTGGCATCATTTAAGACGGTTAACTCTGGATACAGCTGCTCATTTTGGCGACTCCATGGGTCCAGAAATTAATAAAAAAAGACTCGTACAAGAGACAGAGATCTCTGACATCTCTGGTCTCCATCTAATTTCCCATTTATCTGTGATATACAATATATTTTGTGATATTTGTGACAAGATGTGACAAGATATTTTGTGCACAGGTCATCTATGATTTGGGCATACCTTTCATTACCATCCTGGTGGTGTGGGCTGCCTGTGCTGGACTGGTCTTCTTCAACTGCTTCTTCAACTGGCCTCTGGAGCCTTTCCCAGGACCAGAAGACATGGACTACACGTCAGTAACTCGCCTACAGAGCTGCCGAACACACTCACAGCATGTGGGCAGATAGAATAAATACTGATTGATTTCTTCTCTACATTCCCAGCGTAAAGATCAAGTTTAGCTGGCTGGGCTTCGACCATAAAATCACAGGGAAGCAGTTCTACAGACAGGTGACCACAGTGGGCCGTCGGCTGAGCGTCAGCAACAACGTGAAGCAGAAGGAGGTGGTCAGCAAAGATGGACGCAACCTCTGCCTCTCCACTACGGACCTGGAAATGGACTGCAAGCCACAGGAAGAATGTAAGACGCAGACATTTATAATAATTTCCATACAGAAACCTTTGTTGACTACTGAAGCTGAAGGGTGAAAAACGGGTCTACAACCTGAGGCTCTGGAGCTACATGTGGCTCTTTGGTCCCTCTGCAACGGCTCTTTCAAGCTTAGCACAAACTAGCTGAATTTTATTGGTTGTTGTATACAAATAACAAAAAAATACTAGTTTTAATGGTTTGAATTTATTTAGCAAATACTCATTTTAACTTTTTGCTTTATTTCTATACTTGTTTTTTCCACAATTGAAACAATTACATATGTCTGTATAGTTAATAGTTTTTTTAAACTATTTATTTATTCATTTATTTATTCATTTAAAAGAAAAACAAAAAAATAAAACAAATTCATCAACAAGAAAAAACAATGGATGAAAAGGCTGCAGAAGTAAGAAAAAAATTATTATATCTGCCCCTTATTTTAAAAAATGCAAAATAACTACAACCAACAACTCAAGCTTGAACAATCTCCAATGTGAAAACAAAAAACATCAGGTATTCTTCACATGGTACCAAACTTTCCAAACAATTCATCTTTTTAAACATATAAATTGATTTTGAAATTTTTATAGTGATATCGAGGCAATTCCACAATCCTATTCCCTGAATTACAACACAGCTCCTTCAGACTAGTTCTATATGGAGGTTTTATAAACATTTCCATTCCCTTAAGGTTATAATGACTCTATTTTTTTTAACAAATTTTAATTGAATTTTGGGGGTAATATTGTTTATGAGCTTTATACATGACTTGTAAAGTACTATATTCAACCAAATCATAAAATTTTACTAATTTCAATTGATGTAATAATATATTTGTTGGATGACCATAGCACTTCCTACTAATAATTCTTATATATATTTTTGGTAAAAAGAAAATAGGGTTTGTAATTGTTTTGCATGCGTTTCCCCAAACTTCAATACAATAGATTAAATATGGAACAATCATTACATTATACAATATATACAAAGCTTTGTCATTCAAAAACTATTTTACTTTATACAGTAATGCAATTGATTTTGCTATTTTTAGTCTTAATTAATTTACATGAGATTACCATGTCAGCTTCTCATTAATAACAACACCCAAAAATTAATTAACTCTATGACTTTCAATACTGTCAATTTTAAATAGGACTTTGATACTTTTCTTTCTAATACTAAATCACATGTAGTTAGTTTTTTCCTAATTTAATGATAACTTATTAAGATGGAACCAAGTTTGTATTTTTACTAATTTTGCCCGTATCATCTCTAACATCTGTTCAATGTCTTCACTCGAACTAAAAAATGTGGTATCATCTACAAATAAAACACACTTCAAAAGTTCTGACACATCAACCATATCATTCACATACAAAATAAACAACTTTGGTCCCGACACAGAGCCCTAGGGAACTCCACATCCAATAACACAAAATTCAGCTCTTACATCGTTTACCCGTACAAACTGTCTCCTATTATTCAAATAGCTATTTTTCCCCTCTTTACAAGTATCTGGTCTTTTCATTTGTCTTAAATTGTAAAAATATTAATAAATATTCAAAATCATTAGATATTTTTAGCTTTATAATGTCACCCCTACTGGCCACAAAAGTATCCTCTAACCAACCTAAATTGGCCCATGGGCCACCAGTTGATAATCACAGTTGGAGCAGGTTGTTGCAGTTCTGAACACGTTTAATTTAGTAAATAAAACTTTAAAAATGGCTCATTTGATCATAAAGGCTGCAGAACCCTGGTGTAAATGAACTGCTGGTCCTTGTGTTGGTCTCACATCCTGCAGGTCCTCCTCTGTTGCTTCAGGTGGACTTCTAATACTCTAAATAAGCCTTCTTGCTTTGAGTAAAAAAGAAGTATGCACTTGT